GGGGCCTGCAGGGGGCACCACCTTGTATGGATATGGCTCAAAAATGGTCACACTATCCCATTTTGACGTACCTAACTGGAAAACTGCCCAGATGGCAACGTTCTGGGAGCTCAGTATCCCCATTGTTGGGATGGAAAAAGAGAAGTTTGACAATTACCAGGCGGAACATTCTACAGTAAGTAGCGACCCAAATCTTAACTGCCACCAGTTTGGTGACACAGTTGCAGGTTTCTCAGCAACCATCCTTGGCATCACAACCATCACGGCCTCAAAACGATCCCTGAAGAAGTTCGCTCTCCCTCCTCGGCCTAGCTGGGTGAATCGTCTGCCATCCCGACCAACATGGACCTGCTGAGGAGGGGAAGACCACCTTCCAAAGAAAATCAGCTATTCTCAGGAAAAGTGGGATGGCCTCGTAATCTTATCATATCTCCAACATTTCATGGTCACTTTGGAATACTTTGTAGATCTTTTCAGCGCCTCCGGCAGCCAAATCTCGATCTGCCCGACCTGCCATGGCTCAGGGAAGCAAAGGGAACCCTGCTGCACGTGGGTATGCCGTGGTATGCGTATGGGTCAACCCAAACAATGGATGGCTCAGCACTAAACACACCGATCTCAATGTGATGGGTCAGTTCACCCCTTTCAGAAACACAGCGTTTGTGACGCACCTGGACCTTCAATGACTCCGGTGCCGGTGGATCCCCTCTGGGGCCATCATTGGTGGCATCGCTGGGCCTTCCGTGGGATCATCGAACATGGCGCGATCGAACATTTTTCAACGAGGAACATCATCTATGGAATTCTATAAATAAATTTACATAAATGATCATATGACCATATGGGACAAGCTTCCATTGAGATGGTTAGATGACCAAAAGGATCGATACCCATGAGCTGCACGACCCAGTGATAGCCAAGTACTCATCATTTCTTCACTTCAATGGTCCCACCAGTACCAGGATCATTGACCTTCCCAAATGACGTGCCAAGGTGGTAGACCAGGGAAGGGGATCGCAGTCTTGAGGCCTGCCATGAAAAAAAGTGGACCGGACAGACGATCCTTTTTTTTGGAGACTCGCACCATTTTGATTCACATGTTTGTCTCCGAATCTCTCCCAAAGCATCAAAAACATGGGAAATTGAAATCACACACTTGGCCAAACATACCTCAAAATCTTCCAGACCCATAACTTTGAGGTGTTCAATTTTTCACTCAAACCTATCCCAAATCCATGCGTATAAGTATGCAGGAAGGACATTATCTGAAAAATGACGATGCGCTTCGCAGGAAACAACTCCTGGCACCAGCTTCCTATCAGCAACTGTTGGACTCTCAGGGTTGAATCATCGGAAGCCATGGTGAATTGATACTATTCAAACTGGGGAAGACATGGGAAGACGCTCCAAATCTTCTCGTGCTCAACGTCGATCTCCTCCAGAAATCCAGCAGAATCATCTGCCAAAGGGTCCAAATCATCGCCGGCATCTTCGGGCCTGAGATGGAACCATGTGGCTTTGCCCCAAAAAGGGGGCCCTCAACTCCCATGGTCAATGGTTATCATAAGTTTCATAAATGATCACAAATCTTAGGAACACAATGATTGTCCATGGTTGAATTTTCCATGGTTGTCAATGGTTAAGTTTCTACCGGTCACGAGAATTTCACCAAAATTCTGAAGACTCAAGGCTTGACCTGTTGGCGCATCTCGCCAGGAAGATCTTTTGGAGACTGCACCGCTACGCGATGCTGCACCTGGGGGCCTTACCACGGTTCAATCCAATATACAAATTGAACCGTGGCTTGTTCCAGTTGAACCGAGCAAATCATGACGTTTTCGTCTTCGGGTGACGAATCCGCTCTAGTGCGCTAAGCTTCCTTTGAGTTCCTTCCTTTCTCAGAAGACCAGCTGCAAAACCGGATCTTCCAGAGCCAATTCCTCCAAAATGGTGCCCGGTTGGCTCCAAATGCTTCGTTTGGTCTGTTTTGAAGCTGCTCTTCGGAGAAAGGAACTCAGAGGCGGCTTTCTGCACATTTCTGCACTAGGGCGGATTCACCAAATTGAAACGTCATTATTTCAAAACGCCAACTAGGCCCAACATTTCAAGATGTAGTTAACTTGGAATAATTAGCATTTAGAAAATTACAGTAAACTAATACAAAACGTGGTAAGATCACCAGGTCAGGTTCTAGCTGGGGTATATATATATAATTGTATAATTATATATATAATATACATAAGTTCATTGATGTGACCCACTCTCCCCATCTATCATCACTTACTGTCCCCATTTGGGTTTGTCTGAAACTACGGCACGGCCACATCGAATGCTTGATCATCATTTTCCCACCAACAGTACATGTTATTTGGATCTTTTTGGTATCTTCCATTTGTAGCCACACCCATAGCTCCTCATATCCCGCTAGATGGAATTCCCAACTTTCAAGTTTCAATACCATCCCAAAGATCAACTACAAGCATTTATAGACATTCATAGTGCTATACTACACGAGGTGCCCCCAAGTTGTAAGTTGGTTTAAAACACCCCTGAAGTATAGATCTATCTACCATAAACCCAAATTAGTTATGTTCACCAGCTTAGCTAACTATGGGGCACCACCTTCTACCAATTGATGCTGTGGAAGAAATCCTGCACCAGTTGATAGGTGGTTTAATCCATTATTCATACAATGTGGTACTATACTATAGTTAGCTAAGTTGGTGAACATAACTTCAATAACTATGGTTTATGGTAGATATGTCATGATATATCTATAGTATTCGTGGGGTTTATAAACCAACAAACATAACTGGGGTGGCACAACCTTGTAGGGTTTCAACCCTCCAAGGTGGAGGCCTGGAGGCTCCCTCGGCAGCGATCACTCGATATGTCAGGCCTAAGAAGGCCAACCAAGTATGCAACGGAACAAGGTCACAGATTTCTGAATATATATATATAACACTATCATTCTATCATATAACTAGTCGTTAATACTAGTGATATACTAGTGATAACTATAATTAAACAACAAGAATCATCATATTGCAACACTATCATATCATAATCATATCATCATCATATTGTTGTTGAGTTATTATGATTCTTATGAATCATTCTTCAAGGTATTAATCGTATGCCAGGCCCTTGAGGTTGGAAGCTCTTCGGGACTGGGAAAACTCACCGACTGAGGAGATCGTGACCTGGTCAAACCTGCTCCAAGAATAGGTTTAATATGGGTTAATATATGATAAATATATGATAAACATATGATAAATTATGTTAGTATGGTTTAACGTTTAACACCAGATGTTTTTGAGACTTTTCGTCTGGAAAATAACTCTTTGGGATGAACTGATCCTATTTGAATTGCTCTTGTTCCGGAGATTTCTGATGGACCATGATGGACCAGTCCCAAGCCTTGACTTTGCACTGCCCGACAAAACTCCAAGTCGAAGTCATCCTCGGAACACACGCATGGCGTTTTGAAGAACGACGAAACACGATCAGGTTATCAGTTAACATAGTAAACAAGGCATCACGGCATCACAATGAAGATAATCAGGTTATCACAAGTTATCACAAGTCTAACATAGTTTAACATTGGGGCCATGCAAACGGATAATGGTTTACACATGCAGCAAATTGGCCGTTTTGGAAGCCTCATACATTTGGCAATGCAGGGCAGAGATTTCATCCCCATTCATAGATCAGTGATTCCAGGATGTTATAGATGATGTTTGTCCTAGAATGTCCAACTTTTTCATACTTTTTCTATCTATGACTGGTTGCTGTAACTGCATTTTTCCGTGGATTTGGGGGTTTCTTATGGTTTCTTTATGACACATCAACGGTCTGACCACGGGTCAAAACGGTGTAGAGTATGGCAGTAGAGCATGGTGATGCCAGGCCACCTCAGGTGGTCGGACGATATTCATGGGGACATGTCATGGTTTTCAACTCACCAATTACCCTCTGGTTATGTCAACATAGCTATTGAAAATGGCCATTTATAGTGAGTTTTCCCATTAAAAATGGTGGATCTTTCCATAGCTATGTTAAATTACCAGAGGTTATACAGTTATAATATTCATCCCATCCCCTGTTCATATGGTCATAGTGGAAAAATACCACGATTCACCGGTCCCAAAGATGTGGTGTCATTCCTGACAAAAAACAGTGGATTCTTGGGGTGTTTAATGCTAGGGGAAAGGGCGCTAATTCTTTTCTTAAGGTACAAGGGAATTCTAATGGAATTCTAAAGTCCTAATATTTGGAATTGCACCTTGGATTATGAAAAGCTAGGATTTTCATTGGAACAACCTGATGAGTGTCTGACAAAAATAGCACTTTCTGATACTTTCTGCCATTTACAAAATCAGCATTTCCTGTAGTGCAGTGACTTTGGCTCATTGGAAGTCTAGTGGGCCACCAAACCATGGCAACATTTGCAACCACCAGATATAACGTCCCCTGAAATTAAAGACCCCCGAAGAAACCATGGCTTAGTTGAAACCACATAAGGGGATGGGAGTACTTTGTAGAGTATACCAAAACTTCAGCATCGCTGCAAGTCGCTGCATTCTTCAATTCGCGATGTCAGTTCGCAAGCATCGGACGTGAGACAGGGAATTTTGCGCGCGCCCTAAAGGACGCGGTAAAAAGCTGCTGTGCTAAGCACAAGAGGTACTGTACTCATCTGGGGCTTTTCTGCTGTCATAGGCCCTCCACAAATCACTCAGACTTGGGCAATCTCATCCTGCTTGTGTGGTAGATTTTTGCTTAGCGATTGAGGTATTGCAACACAGTTGCAGCTGGTAAGGTGCAACAAAAGAAGAAACTTCTATTAGCCTTGGCAGATATTGGTTCAAGTGCCTCTTGTGCTTTCATAATGACACTTGCCAAATTTGACATGGACAGTTTTTTTTGTTGGCGTGTCAAAGCAGGAAAGGGCAGCGGCTTGCGCGCGAACCATTACCATCTGCAGTCAGCTGGGGCAGCTAATGTTCCAGGGTTTCTGCTGCGCCATAGCTGTAGCCCTTGACGTCATCATGGGCAGCGTGTCCATGACCCCACTTTGGATCCTGGCCGTCAATGGGTATCGGGTATCGGGGATCAGTCGTCACCATTTTCCCCGCCTTGACGAGATTGTCAATGATCCAGGACCAGAGAGGATTGAGGATACTGGGCGCGATTAACATCACGAAGATCAGCTCCTGAAGCGATTAACAACCGATGGGCTTGGTGTTTCCTGGGGAACATCTCCGGGAAAACCATCTTTTTTCTCATATGTTTTTGGGTTTCCTGTACATTTTACATCATTTTCCCTGAAACCAATGCAATGGCCGATGGGGCTGAGAGTTGGCATGCCTACGAAATATGTGAAATATGGCAATGTTTCATCATTCTTCATGGCTCAGTATCTAAGAAACACAACAAATCAGGTTTCGGATTGGATCCACTCCCCTCTGGTGAACATGCGAAAAACTGTGGAAAATCACCAGTTTTAATGGGTAAATCCACTATAAATGGCCATTTTCAATAGCTATTTTGACATAACCAGAGGGTCATTTTGGGGGACCAGTAATGAGGGTATCTAATTGGTTGGGGGGAAGGGATTGATGGAACAAACTATCCAATTGGTGGGTAACAATCCTACCACATCAAGTAGATCACAGAACCCTTAATCCGATCTATGCCGATATTACCCTTGGGTAAACTAACATAGATGCGGAAAACCAAAGGTTTCCCTACAGGAATATAATCTGCAAATGGTGGATGTTAGTTTACAGGAGGGTATCTAATCCCAATGTGGGTGACAGTGAATATTGGACGAAGCGTTATGGGTTCAGACATGGCCCAGGTTGCCTGGGAGCTTCCAAAATGGACTTTGTGATTCTGCTGATGTGCGAATCATAACAAACAACTTTCTCTGTACCTCTCCCTCTCTGTATATATATATTATATTATTATATATATATATTATCTACATTATAAATAATATATATAATCTAAATAATATATAATATAAAAAATATATAATATATATTATATATCATATATATATATTACAACTATTATCTATATTGTATTTATATAATGTATATATAATATAATAATATATATATAATATATAATATATAATATATTATATATTATATATTATATACTATATTATATATAATATATATTATATATTATATATTACATATTACATATATATATTATTATACTATATCATATTATATATTATATTATTATTATATATATACGTATATTATATATATACATTATATATATATTATGTATTATATATTATGTATTATATATATTATTATATATTATTATATATATTATTATATATTATTATATATATTCTTATATATTATTATCATATATATTCTTATATATCATATAATGATGAAAGGTACAAAGAGATACATGTACTTTTACACATACACATACAAACAAAATCACGCACACACACACACATATATATATATATACTTATACTATACATCTACTTGTCGTCCATCCACATCTACCCCACATGAGGATGTCCACGCAGCCAAGTCACCATCTTCGGATATGGCCTCCATGGCTCTTCCAAGGGGGCAATCACCGCATCAATGCGTGGATGCAGGGGATAAATCACCAAACCCGCCTGAAGAAGGCGTTGGTTGATGACCCGTTTCATCAGCTTTTTAATGCTTTTTGTATCTTTTTGTATCTTTTTGTTGCTTTTTATCTGGGTTTTTACTGGTCTCAGACTGGATCATGGATATTTTGGTGGCGTATCGAAGATGGATATGGGGAAATCGGGATCGGATTCTGCGTTCATCACCCAGCAGATGGTTCCAGAGGTGTGAACACCCCCTTATCATCTCCGGGGTGGCGTCCAGCAGTTTTGGACACAGCTAAAAAATCATCCATCAAAAAGTGATCCCAGATGATCCCAGTGGACAGCGACCAAGGAGCCACCAGGAACTTCTCCATACAACAAATCAGGCCCCAATAGAAGGTCTGCACCTCAACACATCGAAACCAAGCCATGGCTGGCTGCCGTCATTTTCTGCCCCATTGATACAGATGCCCGGCCTGGTAAACAAACAGATATAGCTATTGAAAATGGCCATTTATTAAAATTTATAGTTGATTTACCCAGCTATAAAATGGTGGATCTTTCCATCGTTTTTTAAATGTATGTTTACCAGAGGGTCTTCTCAGGACGGAACAAGCCATATTCGAACATCATAGGCGGATCCAGGTGTTCCGTCACCACCATACCTAGGCACCCAAGGGCCCAAGGTGCAGCTGATTCTGCTTGGATTACCATCACACCTTGAAACATTCATGAGGATTGATGAACATTGATACATTTCAATATTTTCAATAAATATTGATGATCATTTACTTACTATTACCTTCTCTACAGATCCTACTGGTTCTATTAATACACAATGGATCATAATGGCATAGATATATCTCTGGCAATTCCACCAGAACGCCAGGCGACTGGCCGCTTTTGAGCCAGGTCAGTTGGTACTGCTCGATGACATAGCCGTGGATCTTCATCCAGCAGGTCCTGTGCAGCGTGCCACGGAAAAAACGTGAGCTCTGGTGCTGAAAAAGCAACAGTTCAAAGGAACTTCACGATGATCGAAGAAGTCAAATATGGTTTCGTTGAAACATGTGGTATACCCACCAGGTTATATTGCGGGTTCTTTTGATAGTGAGCATGATGATTACCCAATGGATTTAGGGGTACCATGTTTTTCAGGATAAACAATCAGATGTTTTCGTTCCTCTCTGTGATCTTCGTAAGTTTGTGCTTCACTTCGTTTCAATTCCAGCATTCAGCGAATTGGTTGACACTATTTCCAATCACATACTCTTCAATAATTTGACATAGATATGGAAAACCCACCATTTGTAGATAATTTCCCTTGAGAAACCATGGCTTTTCCATGTCTCAAATTACTGGAGGGTATCATCCATCAGTGTACCGTTATCATCTAAGGTTTAAAAAGGCCGAGTCGCAATACAACGAGTCCTGGGATGAGGCAGCAAGGCGTCGCTATGCGTCGCTTTTCTACAACAAGTGACTCAAATTACTCAAGTGGCAGTGTGTCAAAACCTTGTACCCCTGGTGAACATCAAAATAGCTGGTAAATGGATGTTCATTCCCCTAAAAATGGTATTAATAGGTATTGACCCAACCCCAAGTGACCACACAGGTTTACTAAATTCCATGGGGATATCTGGGGATATCTGGTGTATCACATAGCGACGCCTCCCCGGATGGGATTCGGACGACGATTTATGTGTCCACGACACCGGGTTCCTAACAAAGCCAGGCAGCCACCAACGACGGTGATGCAGAAATTGGTGATATACCTGGTAGCCAAGGTTGGGCACTTGAGCAATGGAAGAAACAGCTAATACATTAGTTTTAAAAGGTTTTAATGAACAACCACTGGAAAATGACGTCCAGTGTCTAGACTTGTAACTACTTGACAGGGATTCCAAGCTGCTTTAAGTCCTGGAATGACCAATATCCATCAATATCCTGCCTTCGAGAACAGCGATCTAAGCCTCTCAGCTCTAAAAGCTCTGATTTCCAGTGCAACCAAGGCACCATATGCATTCACCTGCTCTACCTTTTTGCCCCGCAAAAATGACCTGAGCTGCATTGAGGTGAGCCATGGTGAGCCCAGAAACAATGACCACCCCTTTGATGAATCCATGACTGGTGCAATGACTGCAACGACATGGCACCGCGAGGGCGACGTTCACAAAGTGCTGCAAGGACATGGCAAATCCCTGCGAATTTCGCAGTGAGAGTACGATCAGGGCAACGCATGTCTTTCATCACTGAAGAATCTTAGGGGTCGGATGTAATCCATCTGGTCTCAACACATCTGTACAGTCAACTAGGATCATGCATTACATTTTCAGCTGTGGAAGATAAACCCAAATCGCCAGCCACAAGCTTTATTGGTTCATAAATCTGAATCATTGCATTTTTGGTTAGCAAACCCGCAAACAAGACTTGAAACTAAAAACCGCAAAGTTAGGCTCTATTTCCCGTGTAGCGCCCATGTTTGTTAATTCAATGATCTTAGTTCCTATATTTTCACTCTTAAAGAATCTTAAAGACAACATATATCTGGACGTATACAATATATATTATATATACACAATATATTTTATATAATACATAATTATTATGTATAATATATAATATATTATATATTATATCTAATATATATTATATATATAGTATATAATATTATAATATATATATAAATTGCAATAATTTACCGAAGTAAGGCTGTGTTGGGATACGTACTCCAATCATCCCCAATCCAAACCATCATTCGGTGACGTCACGACGTGAGATTGTTGTAATTGATCCACGTTTTTGAAACCACCAACCAGTTATAACCATAGTTCATCCACATATTTGACACATTTTGAACCCACCAGTTCTACACAGACTTCCTGGCGAACTTAGGGCCCCTTAACGGCCCCTTAACGGCCCCGGCCTGTTTCGAAATGTCCATCAACCTGCGCTGCTTGGATTCATCAACCCCGGGTGATAATCCGCTATCAAATGGCCACCCCCCACGAACAGCCCAGGGGTTTGTTACATCGAGGTCGAAAAATGTTTTTTTCATAAGCTGGAATCGACTCTGTCTTCCGAATAAGTTGCAAGAAACACATTCAACGGGAACAGCATCTTTCGGAAGATCCAACTGCTTGCATCTGAGGAGCCAAATCACTAAGCCTCGCTGTGGTTTTTCCTGGTACCGCTTGTAAAGCAGCCTCACTTGGCCAACTGTTGCTGATTCATTGAGGGCACCCTCAAAAAAAATCCTGATGGATTCTGGCATTGTCTTTATCAAAGTGTGGTGTTTCGTCATATTTCGGGGTTTCCTGAAATGGGGGTACCCCAAAATCATCCAAAATTACACCATTTTAGTTTTGAAACCCATGGTTATGGGGTACCTCCATTTTAGGAAACCTCCATTTGTATGATGTAAGAATCGTTGGCCAAGAATCCTACCTGCAGCTGGCGCACCTGACCCACTTCCCAGGCCAAGACACGTACACAGCACCACAAAGGCCTCTCCGTTGCGACAAGACAGGAGAGTAGTGAAGTTGTCCAGTTATACATGGATATACAATCCTAGTTGTACGGGTGGTATCCCAAGTTTTTAGGGACTATTAAATCTATTAACATAGTTCTCATAGTTGTACTTGTTAAGTTATACCGAGTACAATAATGACCTCCACTGCAGCCCCAAGTAATGTGTGAATGTAGGGGGCCATCTCACCCAAATCTCGGTGCGTAAAATTAAAACATGTTAAAAACTGTGGAGCTTGGGGCGGCTCCGAACTGTATTTGAATAATCACATGACTTCACATAGTCCTCAACTGAATCAACAGTACACAAAGATCCCACAGATTTCCCCATGAAACCAAGCTTTGGATTCTCCGCCCCCCTGTCCGCGCACCAGAAACAATTGCACGCCGATGGCAAAGGGCCCGGCAATCACGCGGCATGACTCATCATCCATACCTTCTAGCTGCCTAAGGTGGGACAAGTCATGGCTATGACAGGAACTTCTCATCTCACCGACGCCCAGAAGTTTTCCGGTAGCATCATCAAACAACGATTTTCTGGGGTGCGTATATGCAAATATCACCAAATATCAGGGATCCAACAGTTTTGAAAAACATCTCAAGTGGTTGGGATGGAGAAACCACGAGCCAGTGTACGAGCCAAAGTGTGGACTTAGCCAATGCAGGGTGGCATTGATCAAAAGATGCATGAATTTGAGATCCAACCTGACCAGAAAAATCATACTGGGAAGATCTTCTAATCTGGCGATTTCAGCAGATAGTAAGCCCCAAGGAACAGTCATTTACCATCATTTACCACTTTTTCTTAGTAGGATGCTACTCTCCTATCCTTTTTGGCTGCTATGACATGCGAAGCTAAGCCATTCACTTTTTCGATCTTTCTCCGCAGCTGTTGACAAGGCACCGAACATCACCCAGCAGCGTCGACTCATCGCCTTCCAGCATGCTGCAACTGCAACAAGCACTGGCTAGGCAGCTTCACTTGTCACACCTCGCGAGTGTTGGCAATACCCAGAGTGTTGGAGCAATCCCATCCCGAGGATTAACATCAATATATCATTATGTATATATGTATATATAGGTAATTATAGGTATAAATAAGTCAAGTCAATAACATCGTAAACTAGGAAAAACATGCCAATTAAACTCAGTGAATCTCAGTGATATCAAATTGCCATAAATTGCCCCATCAAGAATTTTCAGCCAGGTCCTACACAAAGTATCCTACTAGCGGGCTGGACTGTGGACCCATGGATTCTTCCCACCAAAAAATCCAGGTCTGGCTCTGTCAAGCAAATGAAGTCGCGGGTCCTTAGTCTGGAAACAAATAGTTCAATAGTGTTCAATCTCCAATTTGGATCCATGAATGAGGCCCTGGAGGTTCAACATTTGCTACAGCACATGCCACTCATCCAGCACTGCATATTCGATCACCACTGGAAAGCTTCTTCATTCAGCTTCGTTGCTCACCCATCCCGGTGATGGTTTTACACTCAACTACGGTTTGCATGTCCTAGAATTGTTTGAAAGATTTTGAAAGGAACATTTGCCAGGTAAAACACCCATATTCATACATATTCTGCAATACTTGGCAAATTTGGCAAGTAAAACCGTGGTTTTCTGCAGATTTCCCTCCAGCCAATCCATTGGTCGCTTTTTGGAAAATGTCGCCCATAACCCCTTCCGCAGAACGGCCTGGCTTCTCTTCATCAAAGCTTCAGAGATTTCCAGGTTTTATTGTTGCTCAAGTGGCCGCGGAATTCATATGGTGTTGGACGCGGAATGTCGGAATGTGGCAACAAGTTGTTATTTGCCCAACCTGCTAGTGGCGAATCACCCCCTTCCACATGCAGCATGGATAGCGAAATTGGTAAATCATCTGTTTTCTGGAAGGTATCGTTGTGCTTGTTTACCCCACTTATATTTCGTATTGCTTGGTGGAATGTGAGGATCGGAGAGTTTTTCGTTCCCCTGGATCCTGATAACAACAGGTTCAGTTGGAATTCACCCCTCATAAGTTGGGATATGACCTCCACAACCTACCCGGCCTGGTAAACGTTTACAGTTTGCAACATAGAACATGGCCCAGTCGAAATAGTTGATTTACCCATTAATAGCATGGTGATTTTCCATTTTTTTTTGTATGTTTTCCAGAGGGTATCCAATACTATGGTGTAGACTTCACAAAGGTCCACCCCCACGACCATCCGCACTCACAGCAGAAACTAAGTGTCAGTCTCATCCGCAAAACTTTTCAACACCCGCGGTAAATATCTCACCCCAACCTGGCAGATCAGCCACTAATGGCTGTGGCAACCCCAAAAAATCAACAAACTTGTGGAAAACACTCACTTTGGAAACTTTTTACACACACGCACAAAACATGACCAAAAGTTTGTTTACACGTCCCAAGATCAACGAATTGGTCAATTTTTGGCTGAACACCAGCAATTTCTTGAGTAAATTCATTTTCATGCACGGATTTTTATGTTGCAACTATCCGAAAAACAGCAGTTTGTTTCAAAAGCCAACTGCGCCTCCGAGTAGATGAGATCAGAACCGATCAGCAAATCCCAGTTGCCTGACAGCAACAGGCTTGGTCCTACCCATCTATCCATCTGGTGGCATTTTATCCATAGAAATATGGCAACAAAGACACTTTTTTTGAACATCTTTTACCAGCAGAAATCAGACGCCAAAACACATCAAGATTTTACCATCAAGAATTCGAATCCACCTAAAAAGGACGTGTTCACCAACAATTCACCAACCGCCATCCAAAACCACCGGCTGGTGACGGCGGGACTGTCCCGGTGCCCGCTCGAGGATGAGGTAGGTCCACCTTCGAGTGATCCGCCTGCGATGCTAATGCCATGGTGAAGTTACCGGGGAATGGGGCACCTGAGCAAGAAAAATGGGATATATACATATTATATATATATATACACATATTATGTATATATAACTATATATATATGCAATCATGGCTAGCTGGAAAATCCCCTACAAATAAATAAACATCTATATATAATGGGGACATTTATCATTAACATTGCACTTAACTGGACAGTGCATGTATACATGGGGGATTTTCCATTGCCATGTTTGATTATCAGAAGGTGTAATGAGATACCTGTATTGATTATTATGTATAATGTTCATGTAATGAGTAATAGTACCCTCTGGTAATTTAACATAGCAATGGAAAATCACCATTTTTAATGGGAAAATCCACTATAAATGGCCATTTTCAATAGCTATGTTAAATCACCAGAGGGTATAAAAAATAACGTTACCCAACTCATACATATGTGCGAGTTGGGTGATGTGCACAGCCCTTAAGGTGCACGCGTCACATTGGCAGAGGCAGCTTTGAATGGTAGCTATACTCGCCTTTGTGGGTGGGCATATCAAGGATAACCACACATATGTTGCATATATATATAGTATACATATATATATATAGTATATATATATATACTATATTGTATATATATATATTATAATATATATATATATAAATATGGTGACTCCTGGTCATCCCACCAGCATGAATGGCATTCCACCAATGACGCCAAAGAATCATGGCTACAGCACATTGAAGCGCACCAAAGTGCTCCACTTAGAAGACCGAGAGGCCACGAGGTGAACACATCTGGCCATGTTAGTTGCGTCCATTCCCATTCTTTGTTGTATCCCTTGAATTCATTTATCGAGATACATGATACTAGATGGGCTATGGCAGTGTATTCTTTTGGTTCCAATTTGCAATGGCTCTTCCTGGGTAGAGGATAATGTGGTAAAGCCAATAATGAACCTTCCCCGAAATCACCATTTTTATGGGTGGTATAAACCATACCCAGATGGTAGGTTTATGGCATTGGGTTTACCACATGAGTCAATGTTTCTCAATATTCCTCCAATAATCAAACATTTGTAACATGGCAATGACACATCCACCATTTATAAAACGATTTTCCGAACAAGCCACCATCATTTTATCGGCGATTTTCCAGCCAGGCAGCCTGGAAAAATGACCCCACAAGGGGTATTCCGAGGACCTCGCCTCCCAAGCGTTCCAATCCAACTCCTGCCACCGGTATGGAACCGTTGGGTCACAGGACACTTATCTCAGCAGGTTCATGGCAGGTATGAATGTAAAAAACACCTACTGGTTACTCGAATCTTCCAACAACACTACAAAAGTGTTGTTGACACTGGTTTCTTCAAGCTCGACTTTATATGTACGCTCCAGTGCACCTAGCGCCCCCTGGAAGGCATATGTTCTAAATTCTGACATGAATCCATCAAAATCAAGAACATATATTATATTATAATATCATACAACTAACATTAATTAACATTAACCACACGAGCCGTGCATTTTTGCTCGACAAAAACCCATCCCAGGCACCTCAGTACGAACCGAGCGAAGGGGCAGCTGGGCGGCAACCTTGGACTCAGATCCCTTCATGGCCATCGCTGGTGTTGGGTTTGCTAAGTGTCTTAAATACCGTTGTTGGATCATGGGCTTTTCAACCATGGTTTTCCTGGACCAACATATCCTTCAACTTCCTTCAACAACAAATCTGGAACCATGTTGGATCAACGGAGTTGCAGTCTGTTGAAGGTCTGAAACTGAGAACAATACCATCCAAACACCGGCTTTGGTTGCTAATATCAGCAAAGTGGTCCACAAATCTTTCTCTAGACTCAATGATAAATCCACGTAAATCCCAAACCTGATTTGTCAGGCCTTCAAATTCAGACTTTACCCAGTTTACCCCAAAAACTTCACCATCATTCATGGCTGGGCTGCTGGGCCATGACCTCGTCATCCAGCAACTCAAGGTCCGATCGTTGGTGGGATGATCCATCCCCATTCATCAACATTTATCATCATTTTTTCAAGTTATTCCTCATTTTTGCATACTTTTGCTTGGTCTTGGCATATTTATCTATCATATTTCTATTGCTACTTTCATCCAGTGATAAATATCTGGATCAACATACGCCATGATTTTTCCACACCAAATACCCTCTGGTAATGGACAAGAAGTATTGAACATGACCATAAAAAGTTCGTCGAAACTTTCCTTTCAAAATGGTGATTTTCCAGTTCGCTATGTTAGTTTACAAGAGGCTAATCCAATAGTTTCCCTGGTTGGTGGTTTTACTGTAACCATCTTGAAAAATATTAGTCAATGGGAAGGATTATCCCATATATTATGGAAAATAAAAAATGTTCCAAACCACCAACCAGTTTCTGTTGTTTTGAACCTTTGAAACTCCATCCCATCCCGTGCTGAAGCAGCAAACATTCTCTGCCAGGTTTTGCTGAAGCCAGTCCATGGCCTCGGAAATCATCAGAATCTTAGGACATATATTGGGCTTTCCATAAATGGGGGAACCCCAAAATGGCTCAAAATGGATGGGTTATCATGGAAATTCCATGGGAAATTCCTATGAACATGGATGATTTAGGCCTACCCCCCATGGATTGGAAACCTCCATGTACCAAATAGATCAATTCGTCTGACTGTTGCAACGCTTCTCACTGATTTGACCAATTCTAACATCGCTGATTTTGCCAGAATTTCAATGGCAGTAATGGCAGTAACATAGTACAAGCATACATTTCCTGGAACATATATAATTGAATTTCACTTTAAATCCAGTGATCACGGGTTTAGTTTGGATTATTCGCCCATTAAAATCCGTTCTTCATCCATGTACGACCCATTTCAAACTCATTCATCATCGGTTTATGGATGATTCTGAGCACAGGATTTTTTTTTTGTTGTGCCTGACAAAACCTTAATAATACTCCCCAGAAACAATCGCGAAATGTAGTAGATTCATACTATGGGTTGACCATGGTTCACCTATACCAAGTCATGGCCATCCATGACTTGATTTGGGGTACCCCCATGACGACCAAGGGCTAGACGCCTCCATCTGCCTGGTCATGGAGATGGTCATGGTACTAATTCTGATGATGATTGCTATTGTATAGATATTATGAGTAGTATTCTTAGTACATATTAGTACCACTGTGGTTTGTAGATATCATTCGAGTAGCACTATACCATGATCATCCATTATAACCCATGAATATCCATTAATATCCATTAATATCCATTATAGGCTATCGCTATCGGGCTATCGGGCTATCGGGCTATCGGATGTTATGGGATGCTATGGGATGCTATGGGATGCTATGGGATGCTATCGCTGCTGCTGCTGCTGATGATGATGATGATGAAGAACACTTAGAACCAGGATCAGCTGATGTTGTTTTTGCTGCCATTATGAAGAACGATAATTCTCCATAAAAGGCTAGCTAGGATACCAGCCGATTCCTAGCTTACATTCCCCACATTTTATAGCACCACAGATCATTCAGCTGATTCTTAGCTGGATATTCTTATCTTTACATATCCTTACCACATCAACAAAACCTAACACATACTATAACACACACCATTCACTAAGCCATCATGCTGTTTGGCGCCTGCTCTGTGAGGCAAACCGTGCTGCTTTCCACGTTGTGGGCCAGCGTCATGCCAAGCCTGGGAAAGCTGGGTCCAGACCCAATTGACCTGGACCATCTCAACTTAGCCATCAATCTGGCTAGGCTGCTAGGCTTTATAGAAGAGGCCAACCCCATTTTTTCGAGACAAGCCCACATCAGCCACACAATGTCAATTTTCGGAGCCAGGGCGGCCAGCGCGGCTTCGTACAGTGCTGATTTGGGGGTTCAACTTGGCTCCTGGCCATCCGGTGCCAGCACCCAACTCCAGCACATTTGTTGCCTCGATATCCATGATCCAATCTGTACACGAACGATGTGACGAACACAGCAGGATTACAGCAGTGTAATGCGGAAACTTCAAACTGCGAAGACCAAGCCGGGAATTCTGAAAGCTGGAATCAAACTTCCACCATCATCATGTGCAACATCTATGCAGCCTCAAAGTGTACCAAATCATGTTTTCGGGAAATTGTCACAGACTCTGTAAAAATACTTGCGAAACCAAAAGAATTGGAGATTCCATTGCTGTGGCCATTCCCTTCCCCCTAAAAAGGCCTTGTCACCGCGTAGGTTCTCCCACCTAACACATAGCACAAATTTACACAGGACAAATCCCATGTTAGGACTTTGCTAAAATCCATCCACTGCAACGGCATCACGTGCTACACTAATTAAGACAAATATGATATTGAAACCAGTTGTTTCCCAGGGAACATGATCTACAAATGGTGGGGGTTTTTCTATATCTATGTCACCTATATACACTAACTGGAGGGTACGGTTCATCCTCAATTGGCTTTAAAGCAACAAACCCTGGGAATCATAAGTGGTTGGCTAGTGGACATGCTCAAACAAAAATCCAAACAGGTTCTTGTGATCCTGGCTGACCCTTGGATGACCATTTGGGGAGAGCCACCCCTTACGAAACATCATTCCAGTGACCGGCAATGAGGTCGATATGATTCACGCAGACCTATCGATTAAAACCAACATTGCGCAAAGAACTTGACGTGACAAAGATGACCAAGGTGGAAAATTGGGTGGTTCTACCCATATCCCGGACAATTGACATAGCTATCAAGATATGTTTTCACAAGTAACAATCAGAACTTCTGATTGATGTGGTAAACCCAATAATCGACTATCCCCAATACCACCAGAAACAGTATGGTATAAACCTTCCATACAAATGGTAGGTTTATTCGATTAATACCACATTAATCAAATCTCCATGACCGTTCGCTGGTTGTACTCGGCTTTAAAAAGCCCCCCAGGACTCAAAAGCTTCGCACACTGCCCGAGGACTTCGTCTAAACATGGTAGAATTGGTTAGATGAAATACCCATCATTCGATATTGTTTACCCTCTGGTAAACACACAGTTTGCTATTGAAAATGGCCCATTTATAGTTGATTTACCCAGTAATAGCATGGTGATTTTCCATAGTTATGTTAGTTTACCAGAGGGTACATTTAATTCGAATCTGACTAGATGATACGGTGGTAAACCCAATAAGAAACCATCCCCCATTGGTCTTTACTGGGCAAAACGCTGTTTGAGATGATGCAAAAAAACACCCGAGTCACGGTGGGTGGGATTGGTTATTATTGGGTTTATCACATCATTCTAAATTGTTAGATATTCTTGGATATTATTCTAGCAAGTAGATTGTTCTATACTTGTAAAAATAACTACTAGATAATATAATATATGATATATTCTTCTCGGTTCATTAGCTATTGTCATTAGATTCAAAGATATTTGACAGTTGCGACTATCCATTGCTATGATCATTAGATAATATTAATTAATATTATAGGTCATTAGCTATTTATCATTAGAATCATTAGATTGATTGTTAATGATTGTTAGATATTTGTACCATTGGATTGTTATATAGATATTCTTGGATATTTGACACCACTTCGTGACCTGCTGGTTGATCCTCCCATCTTGATCCAAAACGCTGTCGCTCAACGCGAGTCCAACGGGCCGGGATTCCCCACTCAAGCTCCAAAAAGTCGGCCAGTCGAAACCTCACCAACAGTCGCTATGGTTTTTTGAAGCAAAACCCATGGGAAAACTGGGGGAAAAAACTGGGAGATGAGATATTATGACACTTTTGCATGCTTGAGTTTTCGTGGTGTTTCTTGACTTTTCATGATTTTCATGATTGTTATGGACGTTGCCAGATTTTCACACAGAGTTTTGATGCTACCGGAGCCTTAAAATAGTCTGGCCCCCAATTTTTCGGTAACTATCCTTGGTTCCTCAGCCTCCTTGCCTTACCGCAATTTGGTATACTGGTATACCAATTACACGTGGGCAATAACAAACATTCTATGATACTTCTATGGTATAAAACATGGTATATAATGTACGTATATATATATATACATACATACACGCATACACATTAATTACATACCATCTGTATTCCTCTCTCTCTCTCTCTATACATACATCCAATTCGTGAATATTACATAAAATTGTGATTAAATGAGAGTAATATTACACAACACTACTAAATGTTGTTAAATTTACACAAGAGTGTAGTCACAATATTCAGTACTAAATGAGAGTAATATTACGGCCAGGCGCTGTGTGTTGCCCGGAAGGTTCAAATGGCGTTTAAACATGTTCAAGCATTATCCTTCAACATCCTAAACCCTAAAACCCCAAACCCTAAAACCCCAAACCCTAGAACCCTAAACCCTAAAACCTAGGCTCTGAAAACTTTGAAAACTAAACTGGAAAACACTGCGTATACGCAGTATTTTCTGCAATCTCTCCTATCATATATTCGACAGCACGACATTCTCAATGTCAATGTCTGGGCAACACACGGCGTCTGTGGGTAATATTACTCTATACTCGTGAATCTTATACATTAAATGATTGCACATAAATTCGATGGGCAAGTCACGCGGCATCCCAGGTACCTGGCGTTTCGCCGAGATGGAGGCTGGATGAAAGTTGGGGATGATTACCTTGCTCAACCGACCAAAACATGTGGAAAACCATGGAAGTTGCCGTTGGAAAACCAATGGTTTTCCCTTTCGGAACTTGATAAGAATCTAGTCTAAATCAAAGTAGGTGGATTTTCCACATGTTTTGGCCTAGACTAGTTTTCCACATCGTTATTGATTTTCCACATCCATCTTGGCAGGAGGGTAATGGATCAACGATGAATCCGCGTGGTGTATGTTCAGATTCGCCCAAAAAAGAAACCCTCGTTCTTTGGGGGGTCACCATGGGGTGGTTGGTTGCATCAAAAGTGCGGGTAGAACAGTAACATGATATAACCAACAAATGATGAATCTGGATAATTTGTAAGTATTCCAAGCTGAAGTATGGCCATTTTGGGATAGTTACCCTTATAACCACCATTTCGAATGACGTCGAGTGGTTTTCGTATCGGGTATGATCGGATATATCCTGATTGGATGATACAGGACTCTTGAAGAATTTATTGGATCTTACGGCCAAATGTTGTTTGATGATGATGATGGACGAACATGAAAATTGATTGGTTATGATGATTGATGACAGATGAACATTAAAGCGATTGATGAACACCGGATAACATGGGCTTTTCATCTGTGGAACATAAATGTGTCTTTGCAATTGTTTATATCATCTTATATCTATGTATATATATATATATATCGTAATTAAATGATACATATGGTGGTTGATCTAAATTCCTTTATCTGCAAACGGCCATTATTCGCGAATAAAACAATTGCTTTCGCGAATCTTTCGCGAACCCTACGTTTAGCTTTCGCGGGGGTCTCATATTAAAAAAATCTTTCGCTAAATCGTTCGCTCAAAAACAAATTACTTTCGCGAACTCAGAAACAACTTTCGCGGGGTCTCATGTTGGAACCTGGCGGCCTTTGTAATAGACAATCTCTACATGGACCTTTAGATCGACAATATATATATATATGTATATATAATTATATATATATATATATGTAAATATTATATAATATGTAAATCGGCACGCTACAGACAAATGGTAAACATTGGCAAGAAACTGGTTGAGAAATTACCTAATATTGAGGTACAGCCAGATTTAGACCTATATCATCCATTATCATCCCATATCCATGTAGCATCATGGGGCTGTATCTCAACCCCCCCGAAGCATCCAAGTCTGGTGCTGAAACCCAATCATGATCTCTAGACTCGACCAGGATATCACTAAGGAATATCATCTGATTATGGAATATTGTGGAATTAATGATGATATCACCATATATTAATATTAATCATGATGATATCATTATGGAATATTATGGAATATCACTGGCAAATGATTGAGGATACATTTTCTGCTGTTTCTGCGTATTTTTTCGCTTCCAACATTCGCCAGTGGTACTTCCTCCAGTGGTAGACATCGCTTGGTGTCCTGTGACCACATCTCGAAGCCACAGACCTCGCAGTGGATGAAGATCCCCAGTCGATGGTGCAACGACTGATTTGGGGTACTACCATTTTATCAAACGCCCCCGCTTTCCAATGCGTCTCATTGGGATCTTCGACCACTGTTGATCATATCAGCCAAGGATATATAGAGCTGGAAACTCCATGTGCTGGCAGTTTTACTGGGGCAATCAACGAACTAAATGGATCTAAATGGTGGATTTTCATCGCCAGGTCTGCCACTCTGAAATCACCAGTCAGTGGTGGAGTTTCGCAAAATGGGGACCCATGGGGACCCTATGAAAAATGATCCAACATGATCCCGCTTTCAGTGTGCTAACGGCTGCATTGTTATTCTCCAGGGTCTGATAAAGGGAAGGTTGAACACTATCAAGTCCAATAAGGCAGTGTGTCAAAACCTTGTACCCCTGGTGAACATCAAAATAGCTGGTAAACGGATGTTCATCCCACTAAAAATGGTATTAATAGGTATTGACCCATAGTATTGTTCGCACAAAACAATCATGGCCAAGTCGAAAAAAAGTACCATCTGGCAATCCAACCTGGCAATGATACTGCCCAATTTTTCATAGGAACTCTATCTATCAATAACACACAATAACACACAACAACACACAATAACTATTTTTACTTTTGTAAAAGCCAGAATTACCAGAGGGTTTCAGCCGTGACTTTGCCAGGTCTGAAACCATCACTTTCCAACAGCAGGCCTCTCTGGCGTGCCATTGCCATCTGTCTAGGCAGATTTCATTTCATGGTGGCAACTTTTGCATCAAGAAACAAGTTGGATTTCGAACACATGCCTCAAAATCCTCAAACAGGAAACCGCATCAGGGAATGCGACCCAAATCATAGGCAGCTGTTTGAACACAACTAAAACAAACGAAACTAGTGAGTCAACCTAAAAAAGCAGATACATGCACTACATATACAGCTGCAGATGACTAGTTGAACCTATTGACATGACTTGTCAGGTCTGTCCAACATTGCTGAAGCCGAAATGCGACCGGATCTATCCTTTGACCTCAGTTTCAGTCAGACCTAAATCTTTTCGGTACTGAAACCATTCGCCAGAGATGTCTTCTGGAACAGAATGATCCCTGGGGAAATCCGTAAGGCACCAAATCCTCGGCCAAACTACTGGTCAAGGATTTGCCTCTGCCAAAGGCGGAATCTTATGGGTTTTACATTGTTGGAAAATCTACAACCAGGCGTTTTTTATCGCCATGCTTGATCACCGGAGCGTAGACAGTTTGAGTAGACAGTTTGAATCAGTTTGAATCTCACAGCAGCCCAATTCCAATCCCTGCTGAGCCCTGGCCTGTGTCCCACAAGCTGCGCGGCTTTTGCACAACGCCTTTCACAGCGTAGACAGCATTTTGCATAGCGATCTCTCAGCAAACTTCGTGGCGTGCCGCCGAACTTCCCCGGCAGTGGACGAGCTAAACTTGCTTGGAAGCATTTTTTTTGGCAAAGCAACAGCCTAAATCCATCATCCAGCATTTCTCTGTTACTTTCAACATTTTGAGCTGTCTATGTGATTGGTTGCAGCCATCAGAATCTGGGCAAAACTCATCTGTTCCCCGTCCGGCGCCAATTTAGTCGCTGCTGAGGACTGGCTTCGACATACATGACTTCTGCAGTTCCGGGTCCTGGAAGAAGAACTATCCAACGATTTTTTTGGACTGCGAAAATCCGCTAAACATGTTTGGAACATTTCGGAACTGCTAACATTGAAGACATTGGGGATCATTATCCATTTGTAGAGATCGAACAAATCCTTGATACCACAAACCACAGAAGACATCTTCAACTTCTTCCAGGACAAGTTCCTGAGAAGAGAATCCATGGTGCATGCCCAGACAGTGAGGTGGAACTAATTATCTCATCTGTCTGAATGCATCCGTGCAGCACAGCACTGGGAATTTGTCTCCATGTGGAAAGTCTTTTTCACCCAATGAAGCATGCTCTAAGCTCGGTATATTGGAGATGGTCACCCAACCTCTTTCAGGATTTGCGTGAAAAAACACAATTGGGGAGTATACTAACCAATGATCAACTGACATACAAACCAAGTTTTTTTGTTAATTATGCTGGGGGTTATATATGGTTATATGATCGGAATTATAAACTGATAAACATGGAATTGCGCGACTGATGGGATGCCAATCATCTGGAAACTTGATCCTGATCGACTGCGACATCTCAAGACTGCGACTCTGCTGCGGGAAATTGAAAATGGATGATGGCTTTGTTACCTTCCATCCAAATGGCATTCACATTGATCTTGGCATTTGCAAAACCTGGCAGGACATGCTGCAACTCAGTTGCTGCCTTGGGCGTGTGCCGACTGTTTGCCGACAAAACATCTGTCTGGGATGTGTAAAACTTAAATAATTAGACCCCACGATTTTTTCTGAGAAATTTCTACTTTACTACAAGTACACACACACATATATATATACATATATATATATATATACATATATTATTATATTTACATTTATATGAAATTAACCATCCAATTTTGGGGCATCCACTGTTGACCCATCCCCGTGCAACTTTCCAATCATACATTGATCGTTCACCTTTTTCCCGACTCCAGGGGTTCAACAATGCTTTGCATTGGAGCTGTGAAACCATTGGAATCCCGTGGATCAGCGCCTATGACCATGGAGCAGTCCACCGCTGGACTGTCCGTTCCCGTGAAGGCTCCGGTCCTCCACTGGTGGGTTTACTACGACTGCGCACACTGGGAGAGGATGCAGAAGACAAACTCGGGAGACTCAAAGACGACTGGATGTTGGGTGTACTCATCGCACTCGGCGAATCGCTGAGACCGAACTTCTTCTCGTTCTTCTCTTCCTGACAAGAATGCGATCCGGGGTCCAAAACATCTAAAACAGTGCCTATCAAGAATCAACTATCTTCCCGGTAGTTTTTTCTTGTTTGGTGGAGCCAAAGAACGAAATTAGCCCAATAGCAAATCCAGGTAACTGGATGAGGTACTTCTTGCAGTCTTTCCAAGACTTGCCACAAGTGTGTGACGGCCAAGTCGCGATCTCGTGTAGTGCCTGACAAGGCCAAGTGGGGGACCGTGGATGACCACACAAATGGAATTTCATGGCTAGTCACGTCATTCTTCGGATTTGAACACATCCAACCTTTATCTTGTTTGGGTTGCAAAATCATGGTGAGCCATTTCAGTTGGGCTTGGTTATGATTGGTTCAAAGATGTCACCTCAACAATTCGATGGGTTAGTCGCACAAATGGCATCTCTCTCTCTCTCTCTCCAAATGTTTCCTTCAACATTTAGGTATAGCTCAAAACTAGGGAACCAATCGACACACACACACACAGCAGGCTTTGAGGTAAATCGTTTTGAGGACCATGGAACAACTAACACAGCCGAATTTCACCAGTGACCCCCCAAAAAATGAATTGGGCAATCCTCTTCCAAACCGCATTTTTCAGCGCTTTTCCCACACTTTTGACCCCCCACATGACCCTGCCTTTCTCCTTGTTCAGCAGGCCATAGGCCACCTCCAACTGCCCCCGTGCCATCCCCAGCTGTGCTGTCAAAGGTTCCACCTGCTTGGGATTTTGGCCAGTTCTTGGGGATTCTGCAGATTCTCAATTTCATGGTGGGATGACCAAAACCATCCAAAACCCACATAGATCCTCATAGATCATCATAGATCATCATAAATCTAAATCCATACCATATATTGACCAGGAAGCGCCTAAGGCCTAAAGACTGGAGATCATTGATTTCCCCAAGAAACAAATTGATTTCCCCAAGAAACAACGTACCCTCATAGGGATGCAACTTGCAAGATGGAAGTTTTGACCCTCAGGAATGGAGGTTTTAACATATTTTTAATCACCAAGCAAGTATAAGCAAGTGAGAATTCATCAGCGAACATGGTGATTCTTACACGATTTCGCCTCCAAAAATGGTTTTCACCAGCAACTTTCGCCTAGAAACATGGGGAGTATCATATGTTTCAACCACCAAACACGTACAGTATAGATTCTAATCACCAGAAATTTGGAGATCTCACCAACAAACATGGGGCCCAATATTCACCCAATATTCACCAAGGTTGCCCACGCACCATGGATTCATCATCAACTGTCCACCCTAACCAGCTTCATCAGCTTCCATGCCTGCGACTTAACCTCAAACACCTCTGCTTCTGCTCGCGCCAACTTGATACTGAGATCTGTCAGTTGCCTGGGTATGATGATGCTACACCGCTGCGCCCCTGAGAACTAATATGAAACTCCAAAAAATTGCAATTGGAGAAACACACTTTTAGAACCATTTCAAACCCGATGTTTTAGGATCTGGGGAAATTACCTCAATGAGACATTCATGGAACCCCAACCAACCAGAAGTGTTCATCTGAAAATAGGGCACCCCATGCCATTCCCATACTCTGAAACCTCAACTGTTGGCCCACTCTAGGGTTGTCCCTTAGACAACCAAACGTTGTGGTCGTTAGAAGTCCGGCTGTTTGATTATATATCGTTCCCTCAACCTCAATGTGTATACATATATATATATATATATTGATTTGCTACATGGGCATGGGTCAAGATTTAAGCCCCAGAAGGGACCACAGATCTGAATATATTATATATTTATATTTATATTTATATATTTATTTATTGCGTTTTTTCCAAATCCTTTATTTGCAAACGGCCATTCTTCGCAAAAAAAAACCATACTTTCGCGAATCTTTCGCGAACCCAATGTTTATCTCTCGCGGAAATCTCATGTTAAAATCATTCGCTAAATCTTTTGCCAAAAAAAAAAATCGCGAACTAAGAAAAAACTTTCGCGGGGTCTCATGTTGAAACCCGGCGGCCTTGGCAATTAAAAACCCCTACATGGACCTTTAGAGCGACTCCCAAATATATATATATATATACATACACATGTTTAGTATTCACCATCTAATTATTGGGGTGCCCAAATTTCACCAATACCCACATATCGCTTCCATCTTTCCCAATTTTGTGTACCTCAAACAGTGGCCGTTGATGCCCCTTGCTCAGCGGCACCTGGACCTCTGTGACTCCTTCACTGGATCCGCTGTAGCGGTCGCCACGGGCCCCACAACCTGTGCCTGCGGCTATGGTAAAGCCAATGAGTCTGGACATGATGGGAATATGATGAAATATGATAGATAGATAATAGATAGATAATAGATAGATAATAGATAGATATAGATAGATATAGATATATTATAGATACAGATAGTAGCTAGGGCCTAGTGGAACTATGTGGAACTGGGGTCAAATTTCCAGCTGAAATGGGTTTTTCATCCCTTAAGCCTTGGAATTTTCATCTCACATTTTCCTCACCTTGGGACATAACAAATCACTCACAGTGTATCAATATGGCAGTGTGTCAAAACCAATAGTACCCCTTTTTTGTTCACATCAAAATAGCTGGGTTAAAATGGATGTGAATAACCCACTAAACATGGTATTAATAGGTATTGATCCATACCCATATCTGTATCATATTCAGATGATCTCAGATTCATTGATGTCCTTTGATATCTTTGATTATCCATACTGCTTTTACACTTCACCATTGACAAGCCCGCCTACCTTCATCCCAGGCTTTTTTCCACGCCTGCTTCACTTGGAGCAGCTGGTTGCTGCTCGCCAGCTCAGCTTTCAACCGAGCAAGCTCCTCTTCGGCCACGTGTAAGGCCTTGGCTGCCACTAGGAGGCTCACGACCTAGGACCTGTAGCCACAAATGGCAAGACCTATCAAAATTCTCATGATAAGTTGGCATCAGTGCTGAATTCTTTCAGGTTCTTTGGCCATGCAATTTACGGGTGGAGTACACCACACCTTTTTTGACAGTGAAGATCAAGGAACCCTTCCAAGCTCTTCCTGCCCATCGACGTGTCACACGAAGGCTAGGCTTCTCAGCGCAAATTCATGTATGGCAAAGTCGGTTTGTTTCGACAAATTGTCCAGACTAAAGTGACTAAAGCGATCTAAAGCAATAACATGGATTTGTTGGAAGAATTTGGGGAAATTCTAAAATCCAGCGGTTCGACATCATTTTCCTTGTAAGAAATAACCATATTGGGGTATCCCCCATCTTTGTTTGTCAAGTTGCCATTCTCGTGGATGAAGCCTGCGCTGTTGCAGCCTCTGAAGATTGCTCCGGAACTGGGGGAGGCCCAACCGTAGCGGGTATCCAACGAACAATGAATGGACATTTAACCAACCATTTGATCAACAACTTCTACTGGGGATATCAACCAACAACATGATTTGGCTTTGTCTGAAAGTTGGGTGTACAACCGATACATGGCAAATTACCATGGGGAATACTGCGGACTTAAAACAGCAAATTTTTGGGGAAGGAAATTTTGGGCAGCTACCCACAACCCGCAGGAACGGAACAACAAGCCTGCAACAATGTCAATCTGTCCATCGTCAAGTTTTTGCTGAAAAAACCATTGGGGTACAACCGCCTGCATAACCATTGGTTATAGCCGCTGATAGCTGTGTCCATCCCTAGTTCAGCAATCAGCCCTGTGTGTGGAGGACCTCTTCCGCTGCGCGGGACTTCTCAAGCTCGCCTGGAACGTCCGCTCCAAATGAGGGGATGGGAACAAAAAACATCCATTTCTGGGAACAAAAAACTGGGGATGGCTTATGAAATATCCTGAACATGGCTTTGCCATCACTGCCCAAAGGGTACTAGCTACTGGGATGGATGGCTGCACAACTTCATGGAATGATATATATATATAATATTATCATAAATACAACGCCAAACTCTGACATGTATGCGATTGGGACATCCCCTCTTTTCGTTTGATGATGTTCCCACGAACATATCCAGTTATAGGGGATTTCCCAGCTAACCGTGCTTGATTACCATGTGATTTTATTCAAATGTTCGATTGCAAACTTCCAAATTCGGCCCTGAGGTGCCAAACGACGAAGCTGGCATTGAACCTGACAGTCGTGCCACATCTGTCATGGAAAACTTGGCAAAACATGAGGTCAGTACAGAAAACGCCTGTAAATACATCAACAAAAACATCCAGAATGACCTCTCAAAATCAAATCCTCACGACCAAAACCATGTAAGCTACAATTGGCCAGCAGCATCGGCACCTCTGATGCTTGAGCAGCATCCAGAGTACCTGAAAGGCAGTTGAACATCCACCATTGACGATTGCCCCACTAGAAATGGAGAGTTCCATGGATTTTCATCACTGGTGAAACTTAGAGGCTACGAATCACGCGCACTTTGGCTGATTCGCTCCTTCTGCAATGCCTGGGGCACCCCGAGAGCAAACACCATAGAGATGCGCTTCCCGCACCGAACCGTCCAAGAAAAAATGTCCAAACAGCTCAAAAAACATCGGGAACTTTTTTCCTTGACAGATTTTAGCAGGGATCTATTTCATGTTATTTTACAAGACGTACGACCCCCAAACATTTCAAGGGAACTTCAAAGGAAGTCTTGCAGATGAATTTCTTGGGGAGTTTCACGGAGTTTCCTTTGGTTTGAGGGGAGATTTCCTTGGAAGCCTTACACTTTTTTGGGGAGACTTTCCCGGGAAATCTCAGAGGGGTTACTTCAAACTTAAGAATCCTGCAACTTTCCGGAACTTCCTCAAAGCATCTCAAAGCATGTTGGGGACCCCAAGTCAAGAGAATATACGGTAACTACGTTTAAATATACGGACTTTTTAAATATTTTAAATGTACGAACAGTTATTTTAGACTACCTCCGGGAAGGTTTTCCTTGGCCCGCGCGGCCATTTAAACATACGGAATCCAATTCATTTAAACATACGGTAACTACATTTACAGTAAATATACGAACTGGTATTTCATACTACCTCAGGGGCCTCGCGGTCTGGCCCGCCCTCCACATATTTAAATGTCGTTGCCGTATGTCTGTTGTGCTTTTGAAAGAAACCTATTTTGGAAAGGATCAGAAAATTCATGATAAAAACTTCTGATTATCCAAGATTATCCTGATATATCCTGATATTCCCAAGCTTGGAATTCCCAGGGATCCTTTTCCAACGAACCTGGGAATTTCGGGAACTCGGCTGCGGGATCCCAACGGCCTCTGCTTGCCGTCGGATTTCTTCTTGCCAAACCTCATTTTGGTCACACGAGCTGATATTTGGCTGGTTCAAAACTGTTGGGTAGTTTCAACTTTCTTCAATCGATTCAATTGGTGGTTCAACAATCATCCGTTTGTTGGGATGTAAATTCAACTAAAATGTTAATTCAATGTAAGTGAGTCTAACTTCATTTAATTGGATCTATAAGACCCCATTTGCATGATTTTACACGTTGTTAAATATCCCCCTCCAAAAAACAATCTAGAACCAGCAGCCCGAGGTGCTTGGAAGGTGGCTCTCAAGGTGTCACGACGTTGCACCTCGTGCGTTGTTCAACGACGTTTGTTAAAGCCGGCAAACGGTGGGGATAGATCAAGACTATTTTCACCATGGATGGTGAATATCATGGGAATTGAACCAACCCGCCGTGAGGGTAAAGACCTCGCATTCGACTCTACCGAAGTCTCACATTCGACCCTACTCCAATTCAGACCACACACCCTCACATTCGACCCTAGCCTGGACAAAATATAACAAAATCAGCAACCCTTACAGCAAAAAACAAACCTTTAGCGGTTCACATTCGACCCTACCTAATCCTACTTGTTCATACCACTGGGGAAAGTTGCTTCTGGAACACACCTTCACGCAGGGTGTGGTGGGGGTGGGGTGGGGTGGGGCAGGATGTTAACGTTCACTAACACTTGCAAACCAAGACAGCACACTCCACGCAGGGTGGGGTGGGGTTGGGGGTGGGGTGGGATGATAACGTCCACTAGCACTTGCAAACCAAGGAGGGCACACCTTCATGCAGGGTGGGGTGGGGTTGGGGTGGGGTGGGATGTTAACGTTCACTGACATTTGCAAATGAAGGACGGCACACCTCCACGCAGGGTGGGGTGGGGTTGGGCTTTGGCTCTTGGCACAGGGACTACATGCTACGCATTGCTACGCTATGAGACCTTCTCTTGCACTCACACACCGACATGACGCCACGCTATCAGATCTTCTCCTGCACTTGCACGCCGGCATGATGTCACAATATCAGATCTTCTCCTGGCTCTGGGCTGGGGGTGGGGTGATAAAATCCTTTGGCTCTAGGCACAGGGACTATATGCTACGCATTGCAACACTATGAGATCTTCTCTTGCACTTGCACGCCGGCATGATGTCACAATATCAGATCTTCTCCTGGCTCTGGACTGGGAATGGGGTGGGGTGGGTGTGATAGTTGTTGATGACGATGACGATGACAATGACGATGATGATGACAATGATGACAATGATGACGATGATGATGATAATGATGATGACGATGGTGATGGTAATGACGAGGATGATGATGAAGAATAAGAAGAATAAGAAGAAGAAACATAAGAAGAAGAAAAAGAAGAAAAAGAAGAAGAAGGAGAAGAAGAAGAAGAAGACGATGATCATGATCATGATGATCATGATGATCATGGTAATCATGGTGATGATGACGACGATGATGATGGTGACGATGACGACGACGACGACGATGATGATGATGGTGGTGGTAATGATGATGATGATGATTTTGGAGCTGCTCGCCAACACATTTAGGAGTTACAAGCGAGATATCGCCCTGTGCGCAAGACATCCGTACACATGGAAGAATAGAATTCTTATCCTCTTTTTCGCAAGCTAAACCGTCGATTTCTCACATTCGACCCTACCCCAGAACAAGGGTAGGGTCTGCGAGAACATTGGGGTAGGGTCAAATGCGAGGCGCTTTTTCTGAACAGGGACCCCCTGCAATAAATGGGATGTTGATCCCAGTGATATAGATAGGCATGATCTAACTCAGCTATAAGATGAATGGTGGCAAGCCCCAGTTACATGGGCTGTAAGAAAATCAAATAGCCTAATAATCCAGTGCTTTATCGTCAGTTTCTAGCCATATTTTACTTTTGTTATTTCTATCTATGTCTCATCATGTCCCATTGAACCCCATTATACTTCATTATATTTCATTTTATCGCGTTGTCTCACAGTATACCCCCACTCCATTATGGTTGGCAATACCACCTATTAACTCTTAGTAATGTAAACTGGAACATCATCATGGCCGACAAGGGGAGCTTCGCACGCCTGCTGCCAGCACTGGAGGGCATCAGTGCATCGGCTTCGACGCACTTCTTGCAGCCTGCGGAGACATCCATTGCGGGGTGAGTCATTTTGCACCATAGCCATGTAAGTACATACATAATAATATCGGATGATACGGAATAAGTACATGACAATTAAAACATAAAACCTAGTAAATATAATTACTATAGTAGATATAATGTCATATGTTACATATAATAACAATACAGCACTATACAATCATATATATTATCTATATGCTACAATATACAATACATTATACGAGTATAATATATATACATATATCACATATTGAACATTATACACAAACACACATACACACATATATGTATATTCATAGATGTATAATATTATATGTATTTTATACATTTTTATACATTGTATATTTTACCTCCAGTAATTTGACATAGCTTTGGAATCTGACCAATTTATAGATGATATCCCTTTCAAACAAGTGCTTTTCCATAACAATGTTGAATTACCACAGGGTATATGTTTGAGAACATACGAGACATTACATGTACTATATTATATACTGTATATGATACATACGATATCATATCATAGTATATCATATCATAGTATATCGTATTATATTATATGATATTAAATTATATCACTTCACATTACATTATACTATGTCATACCACATTAAAATATGTTAGATTGTACTATATTGTATTGTATTATACTATACTATATCTGATTGTACTCCTATTATATTGTATAAAATAACATCGTACTATTTTACTTTGTATTATGTTATACTAATTCATATGATAATATATATCTAAATTGAGGTTGGATGGTTTTACGTCATATTATATTACTCACTCATAATCTATCACATATCATAATACACTATGAAATGATATGATGTGATATAACAAAATATAATAATACAATATACTAAGATATGATGTATATATATAAAACTTATAACATACAATATTGTATCATGTTTAATTCAGGTAGACTATATGACATTACATTAAGCTACGTTACATTAATTTACATTGCATTGCATTATATACATTACGCTATTTTATATGACATTCTATCTTGATTCATTAATTCTTGTATTTATAAATTCCATACTTCTATATTTGATCTGTTGGATTCAATGTGTATATATACTCTATACGGATTTTAAAATATACGAACTGGTACTTTAGACTACCTCCTGGAAGGCGGCTTTCCTTGGCCCGCCTGGCCTTTTAAACATACGGAATGCAATTTATCTACTGTAAACATACATTTAAATATACGGATGGAACTGGCGTTTCATACTAGCTCCTGGACCTTGTGGTCTGGCCCGCCCTCCACATATTTAAATGTCGTTACCGTATATGTACATATTTATGCTGATGTGTATATCATCATCAATGGTTGGTATTGTAACCTCAATATCAATATGACGACCTATATTTGCATCCAGGTTGAACATCCCATTTCTGGGGAAACTCACCATGAACCTCCTGGATATATCTGGATATCAGGTAGCTATCAGGTAGCTGAACCCGGCCTGTGAAGCTTTTCCCTCTCTGTCTTCAAGTCCTGTGCCATGTGGAGAATCTGGACCTAGATTCATGGGGGACAGGGGCCCACCGTTTTTGACCCATACCGAGCAGGACATCTTTACAGTAGAAAAACAGCACCTTATGTCGACTATGGAAATGCATGACCGGACACCTAACAGGGAAAAACCAAGCAAATACATTGTAGAATTAAATGTGAATTTTACAGGGAGATCAAATACATGCAGGAGAAGACATGAACACAAACTGGAAATAACTGGAATCAACTAACAATCACTGGGAGAAATCCATGGGTTTGTGTGAGAATAAGGTGCCCCCCAAATCTGGTCTATCAGACCATTTCCATCATTTGTCCATCATTTTTTTCCTAAAAAAAGTTGCCATAACTTGGAAGAATCTCCCATTTTCACCGAGCCTTGGCCTCTCCTGCGACCACGTCCGAAGCCTGAAGCAAGGCGCAAGGCTGTGGAAATCTATGGAACATGGGATGTGGAATGTGAACCCCACTTTGAAACCAGGGTGGATTTAGTGGATTTCTATGGATTTCTGAAGGGAATTTGAGGCACTTGCATTTTCTGGCTCTAGCCTTTGGACGCTGAAGTGAAGTGGCTGCAGACTGTTCAATCGACTCACGGACTCACGAAACGAGCTTCTCGCCTGCATAGAGGCACACCTCCAGGAGTGGATGATCAGCTGCAGCAGATTTTGCGCCTCCTGGAGGAATCATATTTTTCTGGCCAAATCATGTCTGGGTCAAAATTGAATAAAATTGAGCATCAAAAAATGGCATGGTGTTACATCACAAGTTTTAAAGCATGGTATGCGGTCCCTGGTGCAAACTTGATCAAACTTTACTCCCAAGCCTCCAAAGAGCTGGTGAAAAGTCTCCTGTTGAGCAACTCGCCGTTCGAATCTTTCCAGCACAACTCCACCACGGCCTGTTTCAAAGGGGCATGTTGAGTGTCCCACAGCAACAATTCTCAAGTTTGGCCCATGTTTTTGTAGAGCAAATAAGCCTCACGAAATATTCAAGACTCCTTCAACGCTCCCAATCTTCTGGTTTGTAGAAGGACACAATCCACAATCCTTGATGTTCATGGCCTTCAGGCCACTGCGGAAGTTCACTGGGAAGGCGGCAACCACAACAGCATCAGATATGGCTTGATGGCTTGATAAATCTCCAAAACCACCAGTTCGTTGGGATGCCCCCTGAAACCATCCCGGTTGATTGAACCACTCTGAAACAATCTGAAACTCCTTTGGGCCCCAATAACCCACCAACAGATTGAAACCATTTGAAACCACCAAGCGAAAGTAACATCCATTGGATTGTCGCCCCAATGACACACTTAAAGCAGGGACCACAAATGAATTGGTCATCTTGTTGTACTTATCATCCATGGCTTCTTTTTACCCCAATTTTGACCCATACTTGGTCGTTCACCCCAGTTAGTAAGTCGATTCTGGCCCAAGTCTAAGTAGGGTAAGTAAAAGTAGGCTAAGTAAGGTTGGTCCAGTCATAATAACAATTGGGGTTACAACCCCCTTATTAACCTCGGTGAACCACCAACTACTCATCAAAACATTGGACCAAAGCAGAGAGTGCTGCCTGTCTGTCTCACGCTCCCGAGTTCGATGCCAGTAAATCCTGGCTCCTGAGTTCACATATCTTGAAGGGTCAGGGATCTTGGCCAACAGAAATGGGGACATGGGTACCTCATTTACCTTCCAGCAATCAAACATGGCATGGGAATTCCTGCGAATTTGATTGGGAACATCATCTGCAAATGGGGTCATTTTTATTACCATGTTTCATCACGGGAGGGTATTTAGTTTCCAATTCTTGTCTTTTGGGGGTCAATGAAAACCACGGCATCAAAAAGCGGGCTGCTAGCAGTGGGTTTACCACATGATTTGGGTGTTGGTCAAGTTACAGGACCTACAAAAAATGGACGGTCACATGCCAACACAACAAAACCTGTGGGTGCATTGGTGCCCCAATTAGGACCCATAACCATATTATCGTATTAACAAAAATATCTTGGGACAATCCTGAATTCTGGAGTTGATGGTTGACGATTAGTGGTATATCCATACTTACGTGTATTACGATACCCCAATGTTTTAGCACAATTCATGTACTTGAGGCACCCATCCATGTTTGTTAACACAGCAAATTCTGACAATCATCCAGATGGATAATTAATGCAAAGGGAATACTTTCGTGGCACCAACATCCCCCACCACAGCCCGGACACCGATTTTTGGGTTGACCTTCAATGGGAGCCGTTTCTTCAAAGCTTCGCGTTTATATGATACCAATGTCAATCCGCATCAAATTGTTGCTAAACCAAATATATTTGATTGAACACACTATTTGAGTTCACTGTTATTAATGAATTCCAATAATTCTGTTTTAAACATATAAGAACATATTGCCAAGTATATTGGTATATACACAATCTATTATCTATTTATATTAGGATCAGATGACATGGGAATAAGTGGGGATTTTTTTACCCCGTACGTTGAGCAGATGACATGAGCATGGTTTTGACCCGAAACATGTGCAGGCAGATGACTTGAGAGTTGTCGACCACCAGATTTTTTTTTTGTGTGTTTGTGCTGCCATTTTTGGGTTTTGTTAGCAGATGACATGAGACTATGTGACATGTTTGGTCGCTTATGACCAAGTCATGTGTTCATGCACCACTGCTGCACAAGGGCGAAACCAAAAAAAACGTAATAGGTTTTGCTGCCTATGTCAAAAAAGCACATGAGATGGTTCTCAACTCTGTCTTCGGGAATGCTCTTGGTGAAATGACAGTGAGCCCTTAGCTGAACCTTTGAACCTAATCTTACACAGTTGAGAGCTCATGTCATGTGCTCTGGGGGCCTGGTGTGGAAACCACAAGGTGAACAGGGCTCAAAACCAGCTTTCAAAAGTCAATCTCTACGTTCCCGAGTCTCTAGTTGTGTCATGTACTGTGGGGGCCTGGTGTCGTCACCACAAGGTGAACTGGGGTCAAAACCGCTTTACAATTATGATTTTATTTACGTCTTCCCTGATTTTTTTTTTGTTTGTCTGCAATCTTGCTTGAAGGCCAGATCGTCCATTAAAACCCATCGAACAAGAAAATTGCCGAAAAGGAACCCCCATGGAGGGGACGGGAGGAGGGAGAGGGAGAGGGGGTTCAGTCGGCCCCACCTATTTTCTTTATTCTATCAGTAGACGTCATGAGGTTTCTCCACCTACTTCATCATTTTAACATTGCTTTGCGTGTGTGCATTTTGTTTGTGTATTGTTGGTGCACAACCATATGAGTGATGACATGGCATACAGGTGAATACCACGTGAATGAAAGGTGTCATAGGGCAAACCAATGTTTTTCATATGTTTTTTGTGTTTTTTCAGATGGGCTGGAGATCGCATGTCATGAGCTCATATGTTTCGGAGGGCGGGCGCCACACAAACCTATCGCAAAAAAATAGGCATGGTACTTTTGGTACCTAAAGCAAATAACATGTGCGCTATTTTTTTGAGACAAAAAATTACGCGCTTGGCAGATGACATGAGAATAGTGATTTTCAAAATAGCTTTCACTACACTCATGTCATGTGAGCATAGTATCAAGAATTCATGGTCTTTTTTTTGGTAGTCCACAAGCTAGATGAATCCTTGTGGCTCGTTCCAGGACCTATTCTCCAAGGTCCTGGAGGTGCTCTGGTAGCTCCTTCACTTTGGAGGGATATCCACCTGCGATGGGATGCTGCTAAGCTTCAAGCCTGATAAAGATATGGAACTTGAAGCCTTTTCATGGGAAGCCAACCATTTCATGGGAATATCATGAAAATATAATGGGAATATGGATTAGCCAGCCATTTTATATAATTGAGATATACTTAGTGGGAAAAATGTGGATAGCCCCAATTCTAGAGCAAGCAATGTGAGCAAATGGACAAGGGAAAATGATGACTAACCAGTAGATGTAACGGGCTACCTTACTTTCAGACAAACCCAAATGACACTTACAACATGTTACAACAGTTGAAACCGTTCGCCTGATGATGTTGAAACCGTTCGCCTGATGATACCAGATGGGTATATCACAGTATTTCTGCAACATGGCGGGTTCCCTGTGAAACCCGTTTGGGATTGTCTCGAAAATTGGAACCCCACATTCCCATGGATATGCTATAAAAATCCATCAAGGTTGGGCATTCGCGATGAACATTAACCCAGTTGGGTTTGTCTGAAAATCGTGTCGTTACCACCAAATCCAATGGCTTATCATCATCTTCTGGAAAAAAAAAGGCCATGAATCATGATATACACACAATTTTCATCAATTTTCAGACACAACCAGTTCTCACTTGCACCTGGCTTCTGAAGACTCTGCCACTCCGATCCATCCGGAGTTTCTCCGAAAAGCTGTGGACCTGGATCAAGTTTCGACCTGCCTAGCGATGTTTGCAACAACATTTCATCCCATTGGTTTCTGCTCCTAGTACAACACCAACACCAATGTCCTTTTCATCCAAGCACTTTGGATGCTAAACTTTGAGGATTCGATTTTGACTTATTTTCTCATCAGCTTCCATCCCCTATCTTCTGTTCACATCCCATTTTGATCAGCTTTCCACCAAGTCACGCCCCGTTCGGAGGCCGCTGAGCCGCGCGGAAGGCTCCTCATTGGCCCTCTCCGCGGTGTAGGCGCTGACCCGGTCCAAGGACTCGGCGCAAGCGGATGCCACTTTTAATCAGTCCAACATCCCCATGCCAAACATACAAAACCCTCTGATAAACATACAAAAAACTATGGAAAATCACCATGTTTAATGGGTAAATCAACTATTTCAATGGCCATTTTCAATAATTAATAGACGCAATCCGGATTCTGCGGTGGAGCGGTCAAAAGAGGATCATCTTTCAGGACTTGAGTCAATGAGTCTCCCGATCATTGATATGCCAAGTTTTCCAGCCAAGAAAACCAAACATCCCAACAGCTACTCCAACCACAATCTCCCATGAAGTAAACGCCCAAAAAATGTGGTCCTCAAAAAAATCTTCCACCATGTGTCACCCAAATTCCTACAAATTGCCAATGAAGTCTGCACTCTATCATCATTCTTCATCCAACATCCACCCAAACATGCGAAGAACAAACTTGCCCAAACATCCATCAGAATCAGGTCATATCAGGTCCAGCAGTCTAAAGTTCCATCATTTGGAAGCCTCCCAAATAGCAAAAATTTCATGCTCCCGCCTTCAGGACTTGGTCCCAATTGGTCAGGAGCTCGGTGAACTCGGCCAAGGGATATTTTTTGGGATGTCTTCAATGAATTTTCTATTAAAGATCTGATAAGATGTGTTCAATTTCTTTTAACTCCAGATTTGTTCAATTTCTTTTAACTCCAGATGTGTTCAATTTCTTTTAACTCCAGATTTGTTCAATTTCTTTTAACTCCAGATGTGTTCAATTTCTTTTAACTCCAGATGTGTTCAATTTCTTTTAACTCCAGATTTGTTCAATTTCTTTTAACTCCAGATTTGTTCAATTTCTTTTAACTCCAGATTTGTTCAATTTCTTTTAACTCCAGATTTGTTCAATTTCTTTTAACTCCAGATTTGTTCAATTTCTTTTAACTCCAGATTTGTTCAATTTCTTTTAACTCCAGATTTGTTCAATTTCTTTTAACTCCAGATTTGTTCAATTTCTTTTAACTCCAGATTTGTTCAATTTCTTTTAACTCCAGATTTGTTCAATTTCTTTTAACTCCAGATTTGTTCAATTTCTTTTAACTCCAGATTTGTTCAATTTCTTTTAACTCCAGATTTGTTCAATTTCTTTTAACTCCAGATTTGTTCAATTTCTTTTAACTCCAGATTTGTTCAATTTCTTTTAACTCCAGATTTGTTCAATTTCTTTTAACTCCAGATTTGTTCAATTTCTTTTAACTCCAGATTTGTTCAATTTCTTTTAACTCCAGATTTGTTCAATTTCTTTTAACTCCAGATTTGTTCAATTTCTTTTAACTCCAGATTTGTTCAATTTCTTTTAACTCCAGATTTGTTCAATTTCTTTTAACTCCAGATTTGTTCAATTTCTTTTAACTCCAGATTTGTTCAATTTCTTTTAACTCCAGATTTGTTCAATTTCTTTTAACTCCAGATTTGTTCAATTTCTTTTAACTCCAGATTTGTTCAATTTCTTTTAACTCCAGATTTGTTCAATTTCTTTTAACTCCAGATTTGTTCAATTTCTTTTAACTCCAGATTTGTTCAATTTCTTTAACTCCAGATTTGTTCAATTTCTTTTAACTCCAGATTTGTTCAATTTCTTTTAACTCCAGATTTGTTCAATTTCTTTAACTCCAGATTTGTTCAATTTCTTTTAACTCCAGTTTGTTTTTAACTCCTTGACTTTGTTTTGTTCTTTTAACTCCAGATTTGTTCAATTTCTTTAACTCCAGATTTGTTCAATGTCAGATTTGTTCCAGTCTTTTAACTCCATTTGTTCAATTTTTTTAACTCAGATTTTCAATTTTTAACTCCAGATTTGTTCAATTTCTTTTAACTCCAGATTTGTTCAATTTCTTTTAACTCCAGATTTGTTCAATTTCTTTTAACTCCAGATGTGTTCAATTTCTTTTAACTCCAGATTTGTTCAATTTCTTTTAACTCCAGATTTGTTCAATTTCTTTTAACTCCAGATTTGTTCAATTTCTTTTAACTCCAGATTTGTTCAATTTCTTTTAACTCCAGATTTGTTCAATTTCTTTTAACTCCAGATTTGTTCAATTTCTTTTAACTCCAGATTTGTTCAATTTCTTTTAACTCCAGATTTGTTCAATTTCTTTTAACTCCAGATTTGTTCAATTTCTTTTAACTCCAGATTTGTTCAATTTCTTTTAACTCCAGATTTGTTCAATTTCTTTTAACTCCAGATTTGTTCAATTTCTTTTAACTCCAGATTTGTTCAATTTCTTTTAACTCCAGATTTGTTCAATTTCTTTTAACTCCAGATTTGTTCAATTTCTTTTAACTCCAGATTTGTTCAATTTCTTTTAACTCCAGATTTGTTCAATTTCTTTTAACTCCAGATTTGTTCAATTTCTTTTAACTCCAGATTTGTTCAATTTCTTTTAACTCCAGATTTGTTCAATTTCTTTTAACTCCAGATTTGTTCAATTTCTTTTCTACATATTCTTTTTGCCACTATTTGTTAAAGGAAGTTTCCATTAGTTGTGGCAATTTCCATGCACAGGGCCAATTACTTTGTTCCGCTAACTAAGCCAGTGGAGCCCTACCATTCTTTGTAGAGAACGTCAACTCTGCGTAAGGTTTCAATCATTTTCAATCTATGGCAGCCAGAGCCATGCCAAGTTCACAGCAAGGACTGTGGTTTTCCTGCCTGATCCATCCTGGGTTATAAGGATTGCCTTTGCAGCCTTAATCTCGGAATTCTTGCAGATGGTGTGGGATGGCATTACATACAATATGGTGTCTGAGACAGGGTATGGTATTTGGGTATGGTATGGGATAGTGGGCTGAACCACAGAACAAGATTATATACACACATACACTTTAGGCGCAACGCACACACACAAACACACACACACACACACGTATGTATGTATGCATACATGTACATAGATGTATGTATGCATATATATATATATTGCGTAGTTATATAACTTCCTTTATCATTCCCACCATACCATCTTTGAAGGGATATATAATGGTATATATATATATACACACACACACACGTGTTTATCTATGTAAAATCATTTGCATATATATATACACAAATCTGGATGAAATGTAATAATTCCCCCACCCGAAATGAACTCATGTCTTATTGAGGGGTTACCCGGCTACCCGTCCTGGTGAGTTCTTGATATTTCACCCATGATCAAATCTGTGGGAACTTTCTTTTCTAACTTTTTGGGGATGAGTATCTGACTACATAGATATACTATATGATATACACACATAATCCACGTGGATGATTCTATACCATCATTAATGATAGCGATGAATTATGATACCTCTATCAAAAAACGACATCATGATCACATATAAAAAACGACTTCTACATGGATACCCTCTGGTAAACGTTTAGAGTTTGCGAACTGGACCATCAGCATCTTTAAGTTCGCTAAATCAACGAACTTTCTATGTGCAGTTTACCAGCGGGCTCATCCAGCATGCCATCCGTATCTCATCAGCCATGCGGCGCCAGGTGTTAGGCTGGTGCCCAAGTCTGACCTCAGGGAGGTTTTTACCCTGGGGCTGGGTGTATCAATGGATGGCATATATATATATATTATATAATTATATATAATTATATATATATATATACATATATATAATTATATATATACATTAGTTGTGAGATGTAAAGCATATACACTTAAACGGTTCACTGTGTCCAGGCTCACATCCGCATGGCTTTTTCTTCCCAAACTCTTCGTGCGGTCTCAACCTGCTCCTCGCAGGATAGTGCTTTGGAACGCTGTGCAGGTAGTCTCCTGCACAGCAGCACTGGTTGGATCCGTACACCCTGTTCCGCGCTCCTGTAAACTCAGGAGGCTACACAGGTTGAATCTCTCCCGCCCAGTGCTACAGTCGTGGAACTCCACGTAGAGATCAGCATCCTCAATGATGTGATCCCCTACAAGGGAGGATACTCCACCGGAGTCCTACCTCATAGGGAGGGAAGGGAGGGAAAAGAAAGAACGATGAAGCCAGTTTGGCTCAGACTTGAGCCAAAATGGATTCATCAGCTTACATACTCACCCTAATGATAATGCACACCCAGTGCCTGCCAAACACGATGCATACATACATTAGTGAGATGTAAAGCATATACACTTAAACGGTTCACTGTGTCCAGGCTCACATCCGCATGGCTTTCTCTTCCCAAACTCTTCGTGCGGTCTCAACCTGCTCCTCGCAGGATAGTGCTTTGGAACGCTGTGCAGGTAGTCTCCTGCACAGCAGCACTGGTTGGATCCGTACACCCTGTTCCGCGCTCCTGTAAACTCAGGAGGCTACACAGGTTGAATCTCTCCCAATGCACTTCATCCCAAAGCACTCAGAGAAACTCCACAACCCGAAGAAACGCAGGAAGTGGTAGAGACCAAATCTCGAAGGGGAAAAATGCAAAATGCGTGGTGAACCCATGGCGTTTGTGCCATGTCGCCTGGAGGCCTTCACGGCTGATCTCATCAGACCAGTTGGCCTTGCTAGGGATCCACTCCCAGAAAAACCAAGCCTTAAGACCAAAAAGAGTAATATGGATCAACCGTGACATATGCTCTAAATCTGCATTGTCAGAACGACCTCGGATCAATGCCATCAACGCTGCCGTGTTATCGATGAACCAGAGCCCTCGTCTGCCTCGAAATCTGGCCGGCCGAGAAAACAAGGCATAGAGCACTTGCAGCAGCTCTAACTGGGCAATCTTCTTGTCACCAGGCTCCCATAGGCTGTACACCAATGGGGGAATGAGAGAAACAAATGCTTCCCGGTGTTGCCTGTGATCGTCATGCCACACCACCAAAAAGCCCCCAGTCCCCTGACCTGGGCTCTCCAACGCAGCATCCGAAGCAGCGAGGAAGCGGAGCCCTGCCATGTGGCCAGATCTCAATGTGGCGAGAGGGACGGGTGGTGATGACAGTGCGTAGCAGGTCAAAGCTCTGGCGCAACTCCTCAGTTAACTCTGAAGAGCGCTCCTGCTGTCTGTGCTTGATTGGGGCCAAGCCACCGCAGCCAATACGCCCCCACACGCCAAGCTCAAAGAAGTTGGCGATACCGTAGAGCTTGGCTGCCACCCCTGGTTGCAGTTTGCCGGATTCCTCGGCAGTTTGCATGAGATGAAGCAGCTTGGTCTCGATGCGTTCACGGGCCCAAAACTGAACCAGACCCTTCAAATGGACTTGACTGAAGTCATGATCCAGGCCCAAAAATGTGCCGGTACTCTGCATCTTCTGACATTTCTCCTCGGAAAATGGTGTACCCAAAAGGGTGTTGAGAGTCTGCAAAGCTCTCTGACCTGATCCCCGGCACGATTTGCGGTCTGTCAAGTGAGCATCATCAAAATACAGACTGGTCAAACAAAAGGCAAATCGACGTGATAAAGCCTCCACAAAACGACTGTATCGATTGAATGATGTGACCGCAAGAGGAAGACCAAATAGCAAACCTGTATAAATCATAAACGCTGGTTGTTGCCATTCATGATGGAAGAAAGCCACAATGCAGCATAAGGCCTCATCCCAACTCATAGGGCAAAAACGATAGGCGTCCGGCCAATCCTCACCTCCTGACTCCCATTCTTCTGCCTCCCAGTTGGGTGATCTCCCAAAGGCGTAGGCATACTGCAGGTGTTGGGCCGGTCGCAACGCTGAGCAGAGGGTGAGCTTGTTTGCATCACTGGAACGCTCAGATTGCAAGCCAACATAGGCGTCGTCAATCACTCGTTGCTTCCCCGAGGATTGTGTGATGACGCACCGCGGGATCAATCGGTAGGGTTCCGCACCCAGACAACGCTGCAGTTCCTCTGCAGTCATGGGCGACCCACAAAAACCCTTCTCAGCATCTTTAAGGCTTTGCTGCAACAAAAACTCATCATCGGCACCTGGCTTGAGCCGAGCCAAAATGGTCTGGTTGTGGCTCTGCCAGTCCTGGAGTACCTCCTCTCTCGTCAAACGTGTGGCAGCCTGTTCCGGAAAAATGCCATATGGCGGCGCGTAACCCACTGCGGGAAGCCCCATACACAGGCCTGCTGGCAGTGTCACGTCACCCCAATTGGCTACAAGAAGTAGAATTGCAGTGAAGCCGATGTCACGCTGCATTGTTGCCGTCCTGATGGCCTCAGTCTGTTTGCGTCTCAAATGGGCCGTGATCGAGCTCCACCGTCTCTTCATCTCAGATAGGATGCCCATGGCGCGCTCTCGCAACCTGCGCAGGTCAACTCCTGGCAGGCTAGAGAAAGATGCAGCAAACCTCAGATCCTCATCCAACATGGGAAGCCCTTCAGTAGGCAACTGTTGCATGCTGAGCTGAAGGGCTTGCTCAAAGTGCTGGGCTGGCTGAAGGTGAAAGGGCAGAAGAGGGGCCAGCGCCGCTCGGTGGTTGATCGCTCCCACCTGCTGCCCCTCTGCCGTCCTCATCTTCTGCCGCACTGAAGGGGCTGCCAACACCGGGTTACAGCTGCCCTCCATGTCCAGCCCTTGTTGGTGGCGCCATCGCACAAACAGGTCAAGTGGGTGCTGGTTCACTAAGTCCTCCACAAAGGGGATGGAAACTCCCTCGAACCACTCGCCTGGGTACAGCTTCTTGAACGCTAACGCCAAGGACTCCTGCAGAATGTAAAATGGCCCGAAGGGGATGCCTGTAGCCTGCGCTACACTTGACAAGAGGACACATCGGGTAACTCCCTGGTGACCCCTGCCAGAATGACCTTGGACCACCTGTGGGGCACTCCGCTGGCCCTGCTCGCTCAAGCGATCAAAAATCAACCCGGCTAGGAGGTCGGCCTCACAAGTTTGGGCTGCAGGGCAATCACAGACCAGCACTGCTCCCTCGAGCTCATCCAACTCGCACCAGAGTGTCTCCCTGATGTACTGGACGTAATAGGGAACCCAGTCCTGAGGGGTGCAATTCACGCCCACCTGCCATGGAGACTTCCACTTGGTGGTCGGTAGGCGGTGGTTATGACTGCCAAGCCCCACATACACATGACCGGGGGGAAGTGCGCCCTGTTGCAAGACATCTTCAACACATGCTCTCGTGGGCACCCTAGCCGCTTCAGCTGTGTCCAAAGGCCTCAAACCCAGGCTGATGGCCAGTGGGGTCATAGCCCACTCACGAAGTGCTCTGGGATCGAGGTCAAGCCAATGGTCCCGATGCCCCGTACAACTCGGCGACGGGGACCTCGGCACATAGAGCTTGGCGTGTCCAACACGCACTGCCCACCACGAAACTGCCGTGGCAATCGCAAAACAGAGCTCTGCTGTATACTCGGACTCCTCAGCTGAAGGGAAGTGGCGCTTACCATTCTGGACCCAAGGTTCCCATTCCTGGGGATCATGGAAATGGTTGCAGTCAGCTCGAGGCCATTGAGCGATCTCTGCAATGTTGTGGCGCAACCGCTGCAGCTTCGATCTCGCACCACCAAAACAGCAGGCTGAATACCGCTGGTCGGACCAGCGACCGCTCTCCCACATCGCCACCTCATCCGGTGTCCACCAATGGAGGCTGTTGTATGGGTTCTCGCGGACTGAGCCACCACCCCTGTCCACCAACTGATCAATCTCAGACAGTACAAAGCTCGCAGCCGCATTATCCTGCTCCACCCTTGTCTGCTGAGAACCTGTCAACTCAGGTAGACCCAGCGGGTGCTGCTCAGACCGCAACGGTCGGGGTGGTGGGCGCCCATCACCAAAATCCCGCGGAATTTCCCTCGCGCGGCTCTTGGTGGAGCAATCCAAAGCTGCTGCGATGAAGCACACGGACTGCAGCTGCTCATGCAGCGATTGCTGCCTGAGGCTGTTGGATAGTATGTCATGACTCCTATCCAACATCCAATCCACTGAAATGGTCTCCCAACCACAAAAGATAAAGGCTTTGGACAGTGGTGTATTAGGCCCCGCATAAAGATCCGCCATCCGTGGCAGCTGACAGTCAACTCTGTCTACGGGTCTTGCATCATCCTGCCCAGCAGAAGTGCCCGCCTCTCCCGCTGGGCCCCGTCATGGCGAAATCTTCGCCCGACATTGGATAGCTCCATGCCCCGGCATACCACAAATGCGTTCACCACGAACCACGATACCACACTTGTGCTGGCCTTGGGGGCAGGAGCTTTTGGGGTTCTTGCACTGTCCATGTTGGAAAGCCTGGCAAATCTTGGAGCCATCGCGCATCACCTTGGCCACCTTCTTGCCACTAACCGGCTTGCCCAACGCAAACTGGGATGGTGGCTGGACTGCTGTCGCAGCTACTGTGGTGGGCTTGCTCGCCTCTGCCTTGGGAGCCCCGGGCACCGCATGTGGTACTACCCAATGGGCATCACGTGCCACACTGGTCTCCTTGATGACCTCCCCCAAGGACTTGGATGATTCCCGAAACTTGGCCACCCAATCGGAACGATCCTCAAGGTCACGGGCTTCGAGCCAAGCTAACCTCTGTGACAACGGCAGTGCACTGGACTGACGCTTCGCTCTGTAGAAATATTGCATGACCACGTCCAGCGGCACCTCCAC